AAGTAACGGTTTTGGGCGAGGTTTTTATGGTTCACTGGTGACTTTGCCAATGAATTCAAGTCATTTAGCTGAAAATGAGAACAACGTCTCCGATTTGTTATAAAACATAGTTTAAATGCATTGCAACAAACTCATTCCACTGTTAAACATGAACTCTTGATTGCTTTTGAAAGAAGTTTTGCTCTTTTTTTTATTTTTTACTTGTTTTCTAGTTAAAATACCTCAAATATATGAGATGAAGTACATTTACTTTAGGAGCAACACTGCATAAGAAATTAAGTCTTGATTTTCATAGTTTGTAGCTTGCATATGTGTATTTTGTGTTCGTCAGATTATTTTGAGCTTGTTTATATGAGCAATATCACTCTCGTACTCGAGCTATACCGGCTCTATATCAGCATGGCTGTGATTAGGCCAGAGGCACGAGGCCGCAGGCAATCACAGCCGCTGATATAGAGCCGGTATAGCTCTCGTACTCGAGTGATATTGCGTTTATACAACAGTTCGACGGAACATGTGTGTAATTAAACAAGAAACAACGGAGTGCCTAATAAAACCCTCTTTTGTGCGGAACTACTTCCTTCCGCCACGGATTCAAAGCTCAAGTTGACAGTTAAACATACGTGACTTTTAGAATTCGTATCAAGGGCATGTGCTGCTTCAGTTAGGTTATTAGTGAGAAATAATGAGGTTATAAGAGAGAAACAATGCGGCAAGACATGCATCCAAATGAGAGAGAGAGAGACCGCGAAGCTAGACGTTTCTTCTTATATTAACTAACGTACTCTACGATTAGCTCAGTGAATAATTAAAAAAAAACATAGACCCGGCTAGAACAAGCGGAGTGATACAAAATTGTGAAAGGGCGTTCCTGTAGAGATACCAGTACAATATCTCACGGTTCTCAACCAATCAGATTTGAGAACCAGAACGAACTGTTGTATAAAAGTGAAAAAATCTGCCAGTGTAGTAAGACAAAATTAGGGAAGCTTATTCCCACCACATGTTAAAAAAAAAAGACTTTTTCTCTCATAATTCTTACTTTTTTTTTCTTCTCAGTTTTGCCATTTTCCTCAGAATTGCGAAATTGTGAGATAAAAGTCATTTTTTTAAATTATGTAAACTGCGAGGTATAAACTCCAGATATAAGAATTGCAAAAGAACTTAGAGTTATGAGATATAAAAATAAATGTGAGGGGAAAAAGTCAGAATTGCGAAAAAAATTCGCAATTATCTTTATATTTATACATTTTTTTTTTTTTATTATTACGTGGTTGCAACAAGCTTGATTTTTTTTTTTTTCTTTCTTGCAAGTCCAAATCTCACAATTCTATGGAAGCCCGTTTCCGCCACTGAATAAAAAAAAAAAAAAAAGGAAATGCGACTTTTTATCTCACAATTCTGACTTTTTTTCTCAGATGATATAAACTCACAATTGCGAGTTATAAAGTCAAAATTGCGTGATATAAACTCGTAATTGCGAGTTAACGTCCAATTTTGAGGGGGGAAAAAATGTAAATATAAACTCACAATTGCGAGTTTATATTTCACAATTCTGAGAAAAAAAGTCAGAATTGTGAGATAAAAAGTCGCAATTACCTCTTTTATTTTTTATACAGTGGCGGAAACGGGCTTCCATACAATTCGGCCTTTTCTTCTAAGAATTGCGAGATTAAAAACCATTATTATTATACATCATTATTTTTTTATTCTGTGGTGGTGATAATCTTCCATACAAAATACACTTGAAGTAATAAAGCTACATTGTCTGAAAACAACTATTAATATCTATGCAGTGTTGCTTCTCCATTTAAAAAAAAATGATACTTAGATATATACTTATTACGAATTATGTATTGTATTCCTGTGTGGAAAATTTTAGCTATGACTGCTGACAAAGGCATAAAAGTCTTTTTACCTTCAATACAGACATATATCTATAAAAAGGAAATGAAAAAGTTGAATATGAAAAATAAAAAAAAAAAGTAATTTATCTTTTTAAGGATTCTTAGATATTTGGGCTGAAAAACAAGACAAAGATACTTATTAAATTTTTTTTGTTTTTGTTTTTGTTTTTGTTGCATTGTGGAAAATTCCAGCTAAGTTGGCAGACAAAATTATCAATTACAGAAAAGTATATTTAAACATATTTGATTATCATTAAAAGTTGGCTGTTTTACCTAATGTTTAGGTGTTCTGTATATATTTATGATTTTTTAAGAGTATTGTGGCATTAGCTTAGCAACATCCTAATGTTATACTCTATTGGAATCAGATGTGGAGCGCTATTTGTGTCAGTGTTGTTGCCTTTGTAGAATGTTCCAAATAGGTTCCATTTCAGTTAGAATGCTCCTTATGTAAGTAGCAGATTAGCAAAGCATCTCGCTATTTGTTTTTTAGATGCATGTTTGTTCTAATTCTTCAAAATTTGCCAGGCTGACAATCTCAAGATTCCTTCTATCTCAGGAATGTTCGACTTACTCTGAAACATGAGGTGTCTGTCAGTGAGAAATTGAACTCTATTCTTTCCCCCAATGGCGTTTCATGTGTTTTATCCCCCAGTCTTGAGTTCTTCATGGAGAAGAGAAGAGTTAACCTGGCTGGTCTATTTCAGGCCAGCTCAAAATGAGCCGTAATGATGATGCTGTTTCTGTGGTCACTGACTTTATGCATGCCTTGGAGTTTTATTGATTCTGGTTATGGTCAACAGCCAAGTTAGGAGGATGGCCTACTTTCACCCATCTGAGAAACCAGGCTGGAAAAGTTTAAACACTTCCACTGTTCATTTTGCACACTTTTAGGCTTACAGTTATGCATTGTTTACCAGCAAATTCAGCTAGTATTTTTTTTAAAATGTACTTTATTTTTACTGATGTTTTTGCTGTAATTTTTCCTGCTAGGCCTGTTTTATAAAATATAAAGAGTATTATCTTTTATTAAAATGACCGAAACAGTTGAATTTTAATTTGGAGCGTGCATTAAGAAAGTACATTTTAAAGTCATTTTGATGTTACTAGATTATTTATGTGATGGAAATATTTTAATGATGGAAAACAGTCCTTGAAGGGATTGTTTGGAATATTGGATTATCATTATACCTTCATGTTATGATGTACACGTCAAAAGCATTATGAAATTATAACCAAAGGCCAGTATTATAAGTGCCGTGTGCAAAATGAGATTCACTCTGTTTGCATGTTGAGCAACTTTGTTGTTTGCAGAGTTTAGTTATTTCCTCTTTCCTTACTAACTGCAAAGCAGTATTTTCTTAAGCGTTTTTCTTATTTTTATTTTAAAATCTTGTTTTATATACTTAATCATCTTGCATTTTTTACTTGAGTAAATGTATCTTCTTTTAAAGATATTTTTTTTGTCTTGTTTTATAGTAAAAACGTTTATGCAAATTTTTGTCTATGGAATGACCGTAAACCATGTGTGACTATAGTGCTTTCTAACTCTTTTATGTTGCTATGCTGGGATGCAGTTGCCATGTCGATATTGACACCTATGATGTAGCAGCTGTGGCTTTGTACTGTATATTTATAGAGACGTGCTGTCTATTCACGGCAGATTCACGGCAGCACACTGACTCTAACCGTGACCACAGTTTCCGGCGAGATGTAGCTACACAGATGCAATTGCCACTCGTGATCAGAGTTTATTGCAGGGACATGCTTTAGGCAGATTAAATAAAGGAGCTGTTTAGTCTGAGTCAGACGCCGCAAATAATAAGGTCAGATGGGGAACTGCAGGTCTGAGAAATAAAGGGTAGGGGCGATAGGTTCATCCAAAGAGCACCAGTAATGGCACCTCATCTCTGTTTTTTTAATTAAATCCTGAAGTTCTTGTTTACAAATGATTGATCTAATTGAGATGAATGAGACTGACTGGGACTTGTTCCAAAACAAAAAGTGAAAGGTTAATAGTAAGAAACAAAGTAGGCCAGTATGGATTGTAGGACTGTAAAACCTAATCAATAAAATCAATGAAAATGGTTGTTGACATATGTCATTATTGGATGGTTGGCTCTGTGCTGTCAAGGACAACCTTTGTCAGTAAATGTCACTTTGCAGCGCTGAAAATCTGGGCTAGGATCAAAAATCCATTCATAAAATGGCACAGAGGGATTTTTGATGATGAGTTATCCAAAGAAATTGGGGGGGGTTATTAAAATCTTTAAAGAAGGCAATTAACGTATTGTTTCATGTGTCTAGGCTAGTGTTTAATGTGATTCAGAGGTGTTTTTATGCCAGTCTGTACCTTATTTTACTGTAATATTCCTATTTGTATGTTTTAAATTAAAGTGAGTATTTGCAAAATAGTGATTAATTGAAGAAATAATCGATTAATCACTCATGTTAGTTGCAGTCCTAATTCTTTGCTGGTCTGTACCTTATTTTACAGTAATATTCCTGTCTGTATGTTTTATAAACTTAAAGCAAAGTGGGTATTTTGTAAAACAGTGATTAATCAAAGTAATTGATTAATCACTCATATTAGTTGCATGCCTAGTTCTTTTTTTTAGATTTATTTTCGGCATTTTCACCTTTATTATGATAGGACAGATCAGAACTGACAGGAAGCGAAGTGGGGGAGAGAGAGAGAGAGGGGCGGGATCGGGAAAGGTCCTCGAGGCGGGATTCGAACTCGGGACGCCTGTAGCACAACAACGCTGTATGTCACCGCACTGCCCACAAGGCTATCAGCGCCGACTGCATGCCAAGTTCTTTGCCATTCTGTACCTTATTTTACTGTAATATTCTTATTTGTATGTTCTATAAACTCAAAGTAAAGTAAGTATTTTGCAAAATAGAGTGATTAATCGAAGAAGTTATTAATTAATCACTCAAGTTAGTTGCAGGCCTAATTCTTTGCCAGTCTATCTTATTTTACTGTAATATTCCTATCTGTAGGCCTCTGTTTTATAAACTCATACGTTGCAAAATCAACTTTTTAGGTGTCGCAGTTTCAGTCTTAATTCTTTGCGTCCTCTTTTCCAGGTGCTAGATGGTGGTTGTGAAGGCAGTGCGTAATGCTGAAGGGGCTCGTCCTGAGTCAGAATGAGTGTCAAAGATGGCGATGGGACGACTAGCCAAGATGGAAAGGCCTACGAACTTCAGATATACCCCCGACTCTCTCTGGAGACAGCATCGTGCTGTACACTCAGAGTCACCAAGGAGGCCACCGCAGCTAGCGTCATACGGGATGCGGCAGCGACCCTTGGACTGGACGCCAGCAAGCTCTACGTCCTGGCCGAGGTGAAGGAGTGCGGCGGGGAGGAGTGGGTGCTTGAATCAACCGACCTTCCGGTGCACAGGGTCCTTCTCTGGCCGAGAAAAGCCCAAGAACAACATTCTCAGAAAGAGGGATTTTACTTCCTCCTCCAGGAGCGCAACCACGATGGCTCCATACGCTACGTGCACCTGCCCGCCGTGGGGAACGAGCAGGAGTCCAAGCGACTGGTTGCTCGGGGCTTCCTCCCACCCCAGCAGGAGGACTTTGAGGACCTCTGCAACCTTCCGATCCTCAGTGAGGACAGCATCTTGGATAACCTGCGCATTCGTTTTCAGAAGAATAAAATTTATACATACGCTGGCAGCATCCTCATTGCCATCAATCCCTTTAAGTTCTTACCCATTTACAACCCCAAATACGTCAAAATGTACGAGAACCACCAGTTGGGCAAGCTGGAACCTCATATTTTCGCTATTGCCGATGTAGCCTACTACGCCATGTTGCGCAAGCATGTCAACCAGTGTATCGTTATCTCAGGAGAGAGCGGATCAGGCAAAACTCAAAGCACTAACTTCCTCATTCACTGCTTGACGGCTCTCAGCCAGAAGGGTTATGCAAGCGGCGTGGAACGAACCATCTTGGGTGCTGGACCTGTGCTGGAGGTAAGATCATTACCACCGCCTTGATGCAAACTTGGTTTGGTTACATTCGTTTGCAAGCAAATTCGGGAATAGTAGATTCGTTCAGGGACTTACTGGGACATGGGAAAGTACCAACATCCTCTTGGAGAAGTTCTGAGCTTGAGTCTCTAAGAGTTTTGAAACCTTTGCAATGCTTTGTTTTAGTGTATTGAAAGGGTGAAGGTAAAGGAAGTTAACTGATGGGGTTCACATGTCTACCGCAAAAAATGGTAATGATTTGTAAGAACCCTACAATTTGATTGTCAATGCTGGATGTCTGTGCAGTATTCTACCTTTTTTGAGCATTATGCATTAGTTTTGTGTATGACTTTGATCCCTTGGAGACTTACTTCTACAGATGAGCTTTTTGGTTGGAATTGTAGAGCCTGGAAAAGCACTCTGCTTTAAACATTCGCAAGGCAAGCTTAGAATAATTGAATTCAGGATCAGTGGATATGTTGGAGGACTTACTGGGATATGGGATAGTTGAAAACTGTTTCTCATAATGCCAAATTGCTCTGATATTTCATGCTGTACAGATTCTAAGCTCAAGTCTCTAGAGTTTTAAAACCTTTCACAGGTTTTGTTGTAGTTACTGAGATGGTTCAAATAAAGGAAGTCCGTTGATAGGTCTGCGGTTTGCAGTTGTCAAACCTTAGAACTTGTCAACCCCCAAAAATATTCATGTTATATAAGAACCCTACAGTTGATCGGGTGTTTGTGTAGTATCTTTATTTGAGCATTATACATTCTTTTTTTTTTTTTTTTTTTAATCCTTGGAGGCTTGCTTCTACAAAATGGCTCTTTGGTTGGAATTGTAGGGTCTGGAAGAGCTCTCTACTTTAAACAATGCTTCGTAACAATCATAATGACAGCTTATCCACAGATCTCTCAGTCTTCACTGTAAACTGTAGCTCTTTAGATCAGTTATTTACATAGTGCTTTCCCACAAGCCTGTGCTTGAAACCCGGGGTCACAACTTGTTGTACTTGCATAGCTCATGTTGCAGTACCGGCTAACCTACATCTGGAGGCCTTCCTCAGGGGTCGTGTCTCATGCAGTTCTTGTTGTTTCAGGCACATTCTGTTATTTTGCAAAATATCAGCAGAAACCCTTCCCCAACTCTGATCTCATGGCGGTTTATGGTAGTGGTAACCCTCGTGCTGGGAAAAACTAACTTTCGAGACTCAAGAGCGCATTTGGAGAACGGTTAGGGTGGATGTTGGGATATTTTCACAGCTTGAGGGTTAGCATCTAAAGATTCTTGTCAAGTCATTCTTCTCGAGATTTCACTCTTGCATACAAGTGCTGTTTTTGAAGTTATCAGTCAGACAAAACCAACCCACTCGGCTTCTGAGATTCACATCTCTTCTCAGTACTTCAGAAGTTTCCTGTACACATGATGTCATTAGAAATTCTTTGGTGTCATTTCTTATCTCAGCCCCCTTTATCAGAATAAAGTTTGCTTGTGTAGCAAGTCCCGAAAGAGATGAAAGATGTCAGGTTTTGTGTTGACGCCTGCCCCAGTGTTTGTGGTTTCTGAAAACTAGAAGTCATTTCTCCGCAGTCAGCACAGTCATTGTTCTTTGACAGACGCGTCTTCAGGCTTCGTTACAAAATATTCCCCGCGTCTCTGCACTTGTGGTGAGAAGCAGCCTGTGAAACTGGTCAATTGAACACTGCGACCAGAACGAGCCTCAATCCAGACGTTTTCAATGATAGGAGTCAGATCTCCCTGGGGTTTCTCTTCCTTTTATGGTCTCATGAAGTTGATTTGTCTCATCCATCTTCCGAGACTTTCAATTGGTGCTGATTTTTAAGAAAGGACGCAATATTCCTTTTATTATTCTCTGCATTGTCTTAGAGAGAAATGTTTCCATATGTGAGTCAATGCAAAGTTCCTTCTTGTCCAGCTTTCCACGTGTCTGAATAGTGATTCTTTTGGTTATTTTGACTGCTTGACTATTTGACGGATACATCAGCTGATGTCCCATTTCTAACTAGGGATGCACTGAATGTTCGGCAACCTAATTTATTTGGCTGAAAATAGCAGAGAAAAAAAAGCTAAGCAAAAAGACAGAATAAATTGTACCGAACAATGAAATTTTTGTTGACGCGATCAAATAGCAACCAGTGCATAGTGAGAGGCGCGCACTCTTTGTAATGCTGCAAACATGTTGGCAGTGTGGAAGCATTTAAAAGTGTCAGAGAAAGACGCAAAAATCATTACAGGCACCGACAGCGAGAGACTGTTTAGTACTGCATCGCATGTCTTCAAAGAGAAGAGGAAGGGTGGTTGCTGCTGGTTACAATATGGTGATTGCAATCGAAATCGCAAAATGGCCTTAAACAATTAGTAAATAAACTGCAGAATGTTATGTTTTCTAATACATGCACAAATTGCATGTATTCTGTATTGTGAAATAAACAACTGTTTTGTATGTGAATGTATAGTAAAATGTAATTGATTGCTGTGATTGAAGTTGAATTTTTTAGCATCATTACTCCAGTCTTCAGTGTCACGGGGCCTTTCAGAAATCATTCTGATATGCTGATTTGCTGCTCAAAGTGTCCATCACATGCCTGATTCAAGAAGGGGGTCTCAAAAATACTGCGTTAAGCTAACTGAGACTTGTTGTAGTACTTGCATATCATTGCTCTTTTGTTGATTTTGATTGCTTCTATCGTCCTCATTTGTAAGTCGCTTTGGATAAAAGCGTCTGCTAAATGACTAAATGTAAAAATGGCCACAAAATGTTTTTATTTTTCTAACTTATTCATTTTAAGTTAAATTGTGTTTTGTTGGTATAATGTCTGCTAGAATGTTAAACAATGTTCAGTGTTAAATATTTTTAAATCGTTGTTTTTGTAATTGATTTTTTCTTTGAAAAGCAAGACAAAACAGTAAAAAGCAATTTAATTTATGCAATGGTGAAAAAAATGGAAAAATACATGCGGGAATAAAACGCAAAGAAAAAAATAAAACGTATTCGTATTCCGCCTTTGGCCCAGTGTTTCATTTTGTTTGGTTTCGGCTAAGAATTTTCATTTTCCAAAAGTTTCTGGAATGTTTCACTTTGCAACCCTAGTCCCAGTTTCTTCTACCAAACTTCCAACTGTGAAATAGTTCGCTGGCTTTAATTGTCACCTACCGAGGCACCTCACCCAGCAGCAAATAGTTTTGTCTAGGTTTTGCCTTAAACTCTATTAAAAGCAAATTCATGGACAGTGACTCAATGTAAACTGTAATTTTACAATCCTTTCTTTTTAAATCTGCATGTTATTGTCTCCGTTTCGACTTGCATGATGTAAACAGAGATGTTTGGCACCTGTTGTCATTGATCGACACGTCGGACCGGTTTCGTGCACCTTTTCACCGGAGTTACTCTCTTTCGTAATCCCCCTCCTACAACTGTACTGCTTTGTTTGAGCACATATTTGGCCTTCACGTCAACGCATGCATACTAAATACCAGAAAAAGCATCTTCAAGGGCGATTAAACCGCGCTATTTGACCTATTAATGTGGTAAAGTGCTCTACAGGACAGTTTGGAATCCATCAAGCATCGAGCTTTTCTTCCAGATCCAAATGGCTTTTATGGGTTACGTCATTGAGTATCAAATAACAGGAGAGTTGGGAGACTCTGCAAATGGCATTGAGCTCTCAAATGGCTCTGCAAACATCTTTGCTTTCTGTTTTCAGAAGTTTCTGTGCAACAATGCGGCTTTCGATCGCATGTAGTGCTCATATTTATACATGCATGCGAGTCCTCTGAAGTAATGCTTCTGCTGCCCGCAGACAGGAACTTCCCTCTGGCTGATCACTTCAACAGGAAGCTTTTTTTTGCAACAGGAAGTGGTAGCTGTAGAGCCTTCGCTCCCCATTGGCCGGTCTGCTCACTGGGTGTCGAGAGTCAGCGTATTGTTCCTCAGGAAGTCGTAATGGCTATTTCGTGGCCATTGTTTATCTCTCGGCTTTGTGTTAGTCTTGTGTGGTGGACTTTGGCTCCTGAGACGGTCTGAGCTATTTTTGGTGGGACGGCTGTAATGAGACACGTGGGATGTCGACATGTGGAAAAGTCTACAATAAAATGACCCAAGAGTCCATTCTGTCATTACAGTCGCGTTGGAGACCTAATAACCTCGATCGTCTCCAGTTTCTGTTAATTTAAAGAGCTGAATGCATTTGCAGGCCTTTAAACTGTAGTCAAACACTCTAACTTGGAGAGTTCAGATCATATTTGTGTTTATTAGAGTGATTTCTGAACTGCTGCACCATTTTTAGGACTCTTTTTCTTATAAGCGCTCCATGTGCCTTTTCATTCCCTTAAAGGCAATTTGCGCTAATGTTAGGGCAGCCATCACAGTTTTTTTCCTTGTACTTCTAGTTAGTAGGGCCCTATGAAATCCGTTTTTCCCAAATTCCATTTGATTGTTTTCCAAATTCCGTTTTTCCATTTGAATTTTTCTGGATTCAGTTTTTTTTTTTCGGTTTAAATTTTTCTAGAATCTATTTTAATGGTTAAATTAAATTTTATTAATCAAAAAGTATCTCTAATTAATTGAAATCATGAAACGTGCAATATTGAACATCAATTTATTAAAAGTTTAACAAAAATGACATTTTTAAGGCCCTATGAAATATGTTTTATTAAATTTTTTTTCAAATTCAGTTTTATTTTTTACCAAATTCCGTTTTCCATAAATTTTCTGGATTCCATTTGAATGGTTTCTTTAAATATTAACTATCAAAAGCATCTCTAATTCATTTGTTTTTATAAAAAATACATTTTTCGCAGAAATACTGTTGTGTATTTACATTTTTCTGCTAAACAGATACTGGTATTACTGTGTTGTGTATTTACAATTTACAATAATTTACAATTATTTAATAATAATTTGTATTATTAGTAGTAGTGCTATCATTAAATTAAGTAATATATTTCTGTCACATTTTCTTCAAGTTAAACCAAATATTTATTT